TAAGTTGATGCTCGATGCCTTCACGTCTGAAAAATTGTTTAAATTTTTCACTGAGGTACTCGCGACCGTTATCAGAGCGCACCACTTTTATTTGCTTCCCTGTCTGTTTTTCAACTCGCGTTTTGAAGTCCACAAATTTTTCAAGAGCGTCACTCTTATGTTTTAGGAAAGCAATTTCACAATAACGAGTTTTGTCGTCCACGAAGGTCATAAAGTATCTTGAGCCCGATAAAGATGATACGCGCATTGGCCCGCATATGTCAGTGTGTATCAATTGCAGCACCTCTGAACTTGTATTGGTTGATCTTTCGAATGGAATACATGCAAGTTTTCCTTGCACACACACTTCGCAAGTAGGAAAGTTTTCGTGGCCCGTTACTTTTATTCCATGTATGCACTCACGGTTTATCAAATACTTGAGATCCTTTATATTTAAATGCCCGAATTTTTTATGAAGTTTTCACCACGATTTTTCTTCGACATTTGCTACGTTGGCAAACTCGCATGCCTCTTGAACGATGTATAAATCGCCGACTCGCTTTGCTTCGATAATCTTATCATTATTCATATTTACGACTGTTGCGCCATCCTTTTTAAATGTCACCTCGTGTCCATAATCAGTCATTTTTGCCACGGAGAGTAAATTCGATCGAAGATCCGGTACAAATAAAGTATCTTGTAATGCAGCTGTCACTTCATTGTTTATCTTGAGTTTCACTACTCCAGCTCCTCGAATCTTCGTAGAATCCATCGTTGCTAAATTCAGCGTTTGCTTATTATTCGCGCGAATCTCTTTGAACGCGAACTGATCTCGACACATGTGCGACGAAGCACCCGAGTCTAAATACCAAGTGCTCTGTGGTTTCAATATGTCTGCCGTATCATGTACGTTTCCGGAAAACGCACATGCTGTCATGGTTACTTCTGAGTACTTCGACTCTTCCTTATTTTCTTTCTTGGAATCTAACGGCTTTCTGCAATTTCTTGAGATATGTCCTAGTTTGTCACACTTGAAACACTTCACGTTTTTAATCTGTTATTATTTTTCAAAGGGGTGCGCGCACTTTGTCTTCTTCCTTTGTACTGCTTCGAGATGAGCATGGCTAACGTAGAGTCTTCTTCAGCACTCACACATTTCCGCGATTGAAATTCTTCCAACATCTTGATTTTCAATTCTTCGGGCATAGGCAGCTTTTCACGCGTTTCGATAGCTATTCTAAATGGCTCGTCATTTTCCGGTAGAGCATCAGAATCGACCCGAGTTCAGAGTTAATTTTTAACTCTAAATCCTCCAACTTATCCACGATATCAAAAAAGTTAGCAAAATGCGTACGCATGTCATCGCCGTCCTTCATTTTTAAGTAAATTAAGTTCTTCAACAGCATTGTCTTTCGTGCCGGTCCTTGTGACTCGTGGACTGTAATTTCCTCCAAATTTCTCTCGAAGTCGTGCATGTCTTTACGTGCTTCAATTCGGTCGGTGAAATGGCTAAGGTCAAATCGGACATAGCTTTTGCGTCGTTCGCCGTCCATTGCGAAATGGCTGTCTCACCTTCGGCCGGTTTCTGTTTTTCACCCGAGGCATATTCCCACGTATATCTTTTTATCAATAGCGCTTTCACTTACACTTTCCACGTGTCATAATTGTCTTTGTCGAGGGGTTGAATCTTTATACTCAATTGACTCATTTTTACGACAGTCCACGACGGATATACTTACTATACTACTTTACGCGACACGGAATTTGCGAACTCTCTTGTGTTGTGCTCGCGTCAATCGCCTTTTCGACGAACAAATTTACTTTCGCCTGGACCCATAACCTGTGAGCGATATGTGGAAGTAATATAGACGTGGCACTTTTGAGAGAACACAAGACACAGCTTTATTTAGCCTGAGATACACACAAAAAGGGGGTAATATAAGCGATCGACGAAATGCGCGTATAAAAAATGTAAAAGAACATGAACTGCATAAAGCTTCATAGATGGAAGAAACGAAGTTTGTATCCATGCGCTCTGGCGATTGGTTGGATCAAGCGTTAATGGAGATGTTGCCACGAATTGGCTGATTTGATTATCTAACAGTTACCATGGTACATGTTGCTTCCTTTTTTTTGGTTATACGTTAGAGAAGAAAATCTTCATACACCTTCTGCCAGGTAATGTTTCATTTGAACATCAACGTGACCAGAGGAAGACACCTGCCGCCCGAGCTCACCGGGTGTGTTGGATTCGATCTGTTAGTGTTTTCGAATAGTGAAATCCGATATTTTTTTTGCATTCGTTTAATCCTCGTTTGCTCACGATTACTCCGACGGAATTTTCATTTGCTCACCCTTAGTTTAAAAGTTATACGAAATTAGGAGGAGTTATAGGAAATTAGGAGGCTCTTGCGTGAAGTTGGCCACCCAAAATTTAAAGTTCGTATAACTTTTGAACTAAGAGTGAGCAAATGAAAATTCCGACGGAGCAATCGTGAGCAAACGACGAGCAAACGAGAATGCAAAAAATATTCGATTTTTTAATATTGGGGGGCTTGCGTGAAGTTAGCCTCCCAAAATTTAAATTTCCTGTAACTTTTGAACTAAGGTGAGCAAATGAAAATTTCGACGGAACAATCGTGAGCAAACAACGAGCGAACGAATGCAAAAAAAATATTCGATTTTTTAATATTGCGTGGCTAGCCTGAAATTGGCTTCCCAAAATTTAAATTTCGTATAACTTTTGAACTAAGGGTATGGTTCCACTGAGCGCGTCACGCGTCGCGTCGTCGAAGGAGAGAAAGAAAGGGGTTATGTATTTATATAATCTTATCTCTTTCTCTCTTTCATAACGCGACGCGTGACGCGCTCAGTGGAACCGTACCATAAGAGTGAGCAAACGAAAATTCCGATGGAGCAATCGTGAGCAAACGAATGCAAAAAAATATTCGATTTTTTAATATTGGGGGGCTCGCGTGAAGTTAACCTCACAAAATTTAAATTTCGTGTAACTTCTGAACTAAGTGTGAGCAAATGAAAATTCCGTCGGAGCAATCGTGAGCAAACGACGAGCAAACGAATGCAAAAAAAAATATCCGATTTTTTAATATTGCGTGGCCAGACTGATATTGGCCAGCCAAAATTTAAATTTCGTATAACTTTTGAACAAAGGGTGAACAAAAGAAAATTCGGACGGTGCAATCATGAGCAAACGACGAGCAAAAGAATGCAAAAAAAAACATTCGATTTTTTAATATTACGTGGCGCTAGCCTGAAATTGGTCCCCCAAAATTTAAATTTCGTATAACTCTTGAACTAAGGGTGAGCAAACGAAAATTCCGACGAAGCAATCGTGAGCAAACGACGAACAAACGAATGCAAAAAAAATAGTCGATTTTTTAATATTGGGGTAAATTAAAAAATCGAATATTTTTTTTCTAATATAAGTAGCGTATAAATAGCGCTGTATTTCATAATTTTTTCATGTAGATTTGGTTAAGTGGGCCTGATAGGCAGTCGTGACATAGGAGTAAATATGTCTGTTCGCTCCAAGATAGAAGTTCCTTACTTGTTGCAGCGCAAAAACCAAAAATGCCTGGAAATAGTAGCGCATAAATAGCGCATAAATCCTGTGTATTTAATTTTCCAAATCGGTTGATTTTAACGGGTGTGTGGCTGGCTGTCTACTCAGCCACCGCACAAAAATTTTTTTTTTTTTAGCTAAACGGAATGAGCGCAAAAATTTTTTTTGCGGATAAATGTAGCGCATACATAACACATTATTTCATAATTTTTTCATTAAGATTTGTTTAAGTGGGTGGGTCAACTAGGCAGACGCGACTTAGGGGTGAATATGACTGTTCGCTCCAAGAGAGAAGTGCCTTTGTAACCGAACTCGAAGCCTTTACTTACCGTCCGGTCCTTGAATAATTGTTGTTCCACGGTCGCCACTCCTTTTGACCTCCAAAGGAGAAGGTATCGCTTGTCGACACAATTGGTCGTCAGTCTCCCTGATTCCTCGCACCGCTTGGTCGGCTCGTTCCGACTCTTCTTGGTCGCAGAGGGAAGGATTCGATTGAATCATAAATCCTTTGAATTGCAGGAAATTCACAATGATAGTTTATTCTTAATACCCTATGACTTGGTTTTACAACTGTCCGCGTAACGCCGCTCTTGGAGAATGCGCCAGATACGCACGTCGCTTCTCAAATATAATTCATACGCGTTCACAATGATGGTTTGTTCCCGATGCACTCTGGCTCGGTTTTACAATTGTCCGCGTAACGCCGCTCTGGGAGGTTGCGCCAGATACGCACGCCGCTTCTAACTTCTCCCTTCGCTCAGAGGTGAGTCCCCGTTCACGTACGCGCTCGATATTCGCCCTAAATGCTCCTCCACGAAAACTCTTCGGACTCGCTTGAAACGGTCCCGCTCGACCCCTCTTACACCCCTTGGAGGGTAGCCCCGTTCACTCTCGCGCTTCCCTTACCGCTCGGAACTCGGAACCGTCTCGGCTAACGCACTTCCTCTTTTGTCTCGCGCTCGAGCTTATATACTTTCTCACTACCCCCTCCATGGTGTTTGCATCGCTCCATTCGCCTTGCGCGCTGTCAGCGCTCGCGACGTTAGCCTATCTTATTAGCTACGCCGTTTGGTTCTGTTCCTGCATTTTATAGTTATGTGATTTTTTAATCTATGATTATCTTTTATTTTCAGGTACTCGCCGTATTGGAAGGATGCCGCCGCTCGTGTTCTCCCGCTGGAGTTACAAGTATTAACAAATTTTATTTACAAGTTACTAAATTTTCCCAACTGCACCCCCCTGTCTATATACAATATTTACATTTATATGTTTCCTTACAACGATGATTGGTTTCTTCGGTGCCGTAACAAGAATTCATGGACACCCGGTATTCGGAGCGATCCCTAATTTGACTAGCACGTCCCTTTGGTGCTCAGAATGCGAATGACGATGGGTTTTCTCGCTATTCTAATTTTAGGTAATTCGCGACAATTTTTTACGGTCACCCGGTATGCGTGGTGGCCTCAAATTTTGGTAGAACGTCTCGTTGGTGCTTAAAATGAGATTAACGGTCGATTTTTCCTATATTCTAAGGCGTCGTCTGCAATACACGGAGTAAGAAGTAAGAGTAAGAAATTGACCAATTACAGTCGATTATTCTTCTCACATTCGACTGTGATTGGTCAATTTCATACTCTTACTTCTTACTCTGTGTATTGTAGACGGGCCTTCACTTTAAGTGTGTCGCGACGATTTTTCATGGGCACCCGATATACGTGGTGGCCTCAAATTTTAATGGCACATCTCATTGGTGCTTATAATGAAATTAACGATCGGTTTTTTCTATATTCTAATTTTAAGTATCTCGCGAGAGTTTTTTGTCATCACCCGGTATAATGATTAATCAATTTACACGTCTATTTCTACGATTTCGACGCCTTAAGGGCTCTAACGGTTCATTATTGCTACCTTATATTAACTATTAATTTTTTCTTTACTTTTTCTATTATTTTTCTTTGGCAATGATAATGATAATCCTAATAATATTCTTAATTCTACTTCTTATTCTAGTGACTTTATTTATTTATTCTGCTCTCTATTTTTATTTGTTTTTCCAATATAATTTTCTCATGCTACTATTAGTTTAAACTATATAATGCGCCTCCGCTTGCACTTATAACAACCAAATTAACTTTACGTAACTATTGTCGCCTATAATATATTTTGTACCTTTGGTACCGCTACAGCCGGTACGGAGATGAAGCTGGACCCTTGGCTCCGGCTTCACCTTAGGCATCGTCTACAATACACGGAGTAAGAAGTAAGAGTAAGAAATTGACCAATCACAGGCGATTATTCTTCTCACATTCGACTGTGATTGGTCAATTTCTTACTCTTACTTCTTACTCCGTGCATTGTAGACGACGCCTTAAGTGTTGCAGCGCAAAAATAAAAAATGCCTCGAAATAGTAGCGTATAAATAGCGCATAAATCCTCTGTATTTAATTTTCCAAATCGTGTGTCCAAACGGGTGTGGGGCTGGCTGCCTACTCAGCCACCGCACAAAAATTTTTTTTTTTAGTTAAACGGAATGAGCGCAAAATTTTTTTTTGCGGATATAGGTAGCGCATAAATAGCGCATATACCTATCCTGTGTATTTAATTTTCCAATTCAGTTGATTTT